CTTGCAGCTCTTGAATTTCTTGCAGATCTCAAGTTTTGAGATTTCCTTTGTTTTTAGTGTTTTTCAGATGATGTGGTGTTGGAAATAGATTAAACATGTGACATATGAAAATAAATGAGATGTGTATGATAACATTTGTCTTTTGCAGCTGACTCTTACAGTTGATGACTAATTCATTATCTCTTTTCTTATACTTTTTCTTTATCTGCTAGTCACTACTCTTATACAATCTCTATATGATACTGCATTCAGTGACTAGATTCAGCAGCTTTCATCTTTTATAATTCTGTCTCACACATTATACTGTCTCTCTTTACTCACTTAGATCACTACAGTGAACAGCTCATTGAAACTAATCTCACTCAATCTCTGAGTGTCTTCAGAGGTTGAGATGACTTGATCTCACACATTTATAAATGTTTCAGATAGTTCATCCTCTGTGATCTCTGTGATTGAACTGGTGTAAACAGTTGAATTCAACTCTGAATTTCTTTTTCTTCTGCAATCTGACTCACATGCAAGTCTGCTGCTTTGAGACTGCTTTTTATCATATTACACTCACTGTCTGCAGCATGTTATCATACAACTGGCTACAGTCTTATCACTTATTGAAGTGTGATGTTCATCTGATTTCTTCATTTCTTCTCATTCTTTTCTTATAATTATGAAAAGATCAGAATAAGTGAGATCATCTGATTTGTAAGTGTCTATGATTTCTCTTACTTCATGAGACTTTTCAATTGTAAGTCTCTTCTTTTTCAACACTGATAATAGTGCTGTAAATAATCATAATTCACTCAGGTCTTACATCTTTACTTTCATAAGTCATGAATCATTGATTAAGTTGTATAAGACTTATTCCTCTGATTCTTTCAATGCATACATTCTCAGAGAATGTGATTTAAGTATTTTATATAGCTCAAACCATCTAGATTGAAACTTCTCAGAACTCTCATTACATACAAGAACTCACATTCTCATCTTGAGACTTGATTTCTTAATAAGTGAGTCTTGTATTCTTTTCAATTGAATTGCTCAGTTTAGAAGTAACTTATTAGCTTTTGCATGTGTGTGGCTGATCTCTTTCAATCTTGATTCCGTGTCTGCAACTGTTGTGTCCGCGACTGCTGCATCTGTAACTGCTGTTTCCTCCCTCACCTTTTCTGAAGCATTCTCTGGGATGCGCGGATGCAATTCATACAACAGGTAGAATGATGAACACTTAGTGACTGCATGCTGCTGAATTCGCGTGGCTAATAGTGCCTGTCTGAGATATTCATTCCATAATCTCATAGACTTACTCACTAGATATTTTGTCAGCATGTTGCCTAAGATTCCATTCAAGTGTTCCACCTTCCCATTCATCCGCGGGTGATATGGCATTGTTCTATGATGTCTTGTCTGTAACTGGCTCATGAAATGCCTCACTGCTTCTTCTATGAGGTTTGCACTGTTATCAGTTAGAATCTCGCGCAGCATTCCATAGTTGACATAGATCTTATTATGTAGGAACTTTATCATCACCTTCTTCATCACCTCTGAAACTGCTTTCATGACTGACCAGTCAGTAGCATAATCAATAGCAGTGATTATTCATTGATTTTCATTTGACATTTATGACAATATGTCTATGAGGTTCATCTCTCATTATTTAAATAATTGTATTATACACTTCATCTGATGTTGTACTTTCTCATATTCTAACTCTTTCTTAGATTCTTTCATGACCTGACAATTCAGACACTTGTGAGTGTACATCTGAATATCCTTGGTCATGCTTAGTCAGTATACTCTTGATTCAAGTATGTTCATAAGTTCAGAACTTTCTAAGTGACTGAATTCCTTATGTATATGAGTCATCAAGTTGTGTCTAAATGAAGATTCTAGATAGAGAGCTTCTGTGTATTCTAGATTGCAGTAAAGCACAATATCATTTTCCAATTTCTTCAGCTTGAAGTTCAGAAGCATCTCTTCTACTACTTTTATAAGATGCTTGTTATCTGATATCTTATCATTCTTCAAGCAAGAGATCATGATATTCACTCATTCTGATTTCTTGCATTCTCTCAGCATATTTAACACAAATATCTCTTATACCTGATTCACAGAATCTTCACTCATGAAATCAGATCTGTGACTGATTACATCAGGTATCACTGCATCTGATCTCTTTCAGTATTTAATATGAAGATTGTACACTTAAAACTCTGAGATTCAACATACTAAGCATTTGAAAGATTTTATTATTGATTGTAGATAGACAAGGCTTTTGTGATTCATAATCATCATTGTTATATGTCTGTTGTCAATATATCTATTCTACAACATCAGCATGTGCTTGATTACTAGCAATTTCTTTTCATACACTGAATAATTGAGCTCAGTGTCTGATAGTTTTCTATCATTATATATTATCAGATGCAGCTTGCTGTTCTTACTCATCTGTAGAAGAGTATCTCTGATAGCTCATTCAGATATGTCTGTCTCAATGTAGAAAGATTTATCATGATCTGATTGAATAAGCACTGAGAATATTGTTACACATTTTCTCAGTGTGAGAAAAGCCTCTTCACACACAGCATTTCAGATGATTGAACAAAACTTCTTCTTTCACAGATTTGCATTCATTTCTCTTAAGAGATCTGAGAGTGATGCAGATATTCATGCAAAATCCTTGATGAATCTGCAGTAGTATGAGACTAACTCAAGAAACTGTTGTACATAATGTACATTTCTCAGCTGCAGTCAATTCACTATGACATTCAATTTCTCTGAGATGAGATGTATACAGTCATTACTCACTACATGTTTCATAAACTTCAACTCTTTCATTTCAAACACACACTTGATTGATTTAATATAGAGCTTATACTCTGCCAGAGTTGTAAGCACTTCATCAAGATGCTTCAGATATTCATTGTATGAGTTTGAAAAGACTAGAATGTTATCAAGATATATAAGACATGAGGTTTCATTCTGTTTATGAAGAATCATATTCATCATCATTTAAAAGATGACAGATGCATTTGTCAGACTGAATAGCATTGCTAGGAATTCAAACTTCTCTCATTGTGTATTAAACACAGTTCACAGAACTGACAGTTTGTCTACACAGATCTGTCAGTATTCTGAGAGAAGATCAATCTTCAATAGATATCAGGCATTTCTGACTGTATTCAACTGTTGTTGAATTCATGATAGTGAATATTCATTCTTGATTATAAGCTTGTTAAGTGCTTAATAATTGATACACATTCATCACTTCTCATTCATCTTTTTCATAAATAGAACTGAAAAGCCTCATGTGCTTGATAAGAATTATATGAGATCATGTTCTAGAAGGTCTGTGATCTGATGCTTCTGTTCTTCAAGATACATTTGTGATAGAGAGTACACATTCTGATTGACTGATTTTGCATCTCTCATGTCAATCTCATGTACAAATTCTCATTTCAGCAGCAATTTCAGTGAAAGATCTGTTCAGAAGATCTTTCTATACTTCTTCAGAAGCTTCTTTATATACTTGTTCTCTCACATATTCTTTATCTTGATTTTCTCTGCTTTCAGGTCTCATATGACATACAGAATGCTTTCAGATAAGGTCTTATGAATTGTTCTCTTTACTTATTGATGTATAAGCAGATTTAACTCTTCTATATCAGAGATGTGAAATGTCCTTCTCATATCAGTTAATAGAATTGTATGAATCATTTTCTTTCTATCAATCAACTGCATATGACATGTACATCATTGAATCTGCAGATTGAACCTTTGAAATCAATTAAGTCTGAGAATAAGATTGTATTTCATGTTCTGCAGCTCTTATACTCAAATATAGTAAGATTATTCTCTGAAGTGCAAGGAAACTCTTACTTTTGCAGATGATATCAAATATCAGTTATCAGATAATCTTATGTATGAGAGATTCTTTACTCAGCAGATCTCTTTCAATCTTCAGATTATATAATTATTAATATATTGTATTAAAGCTTCTGTGTCTGCTAATACTTTTACAGCCATCTCTCAATTCTTACTCAAGTGTCTCTTATACATTAACATTTCAGGCCTCAAGGCATTGAGATGAGTGTTTACTTCATTATTCTCATCTGCATCTCATTCAGAAGCCTGCTTCTTCTTTGCATTCACAGAATTCAGAGAGTCATCTAACATGAGCATCTCTTTCACTTTGAAGACTTTTCATAGAATATCAGTGAGTGCCTCTGAGCTCACTGATTCTGCTAGTTTTTTAACTCTCTTACTTCTCTTAACTGCACATACTGAGTGCAATCTTTTGTACTATGATTTTGATGTCTGCAGTTGAAGCAAGCTCAATACTCATAACATCAAGATTTTCACTCAGAGAATCTCTTTTTCAGAGAATTCAGTGCTTTAGTGATAGCATTCAGATCTAGATTCATTGCATCTGAGTGTGTAACTTGTGTCATAGAAGTCTGATTACTTATTCTCTGCTGAGACATACTCAATTGCAGTATTTTCTGTCATAATTGACTTGCTTATTCTCATACAATGAGAATGTTATATACTTCTTTCATCATGCCTGACTGTGAGGTTAAGCATTTTCATTCCACTCTCAACTCAGATGTAAGATTATGAATGAAGATCTGTAAACAGAAAGATATTAAAAGCTCTTCATTCAACATAAGATAGTGTAAGCTGAAGTGTGTGAAGTATAATATAAGATCACTCACTTGTCTACACTCAGTGAAGTGTTTATAACACTTATCTCATATGTTCACTTTCTCAAAGTTGTGCAAGATTCACTTAGAAAACTCATTTCATGTTTATGAAAATGAATATCACTTCAGATCTGTGAGATTCATCTTTTCATCAGTCATTTATAATAACTTCACTTTTTCATATAGAAATACAGCAGATCTTAAGACTTGTTGAAATTCTATTGACTGTCTGTCTGTGAGTTCATGTTTAATCTGATAATATGATTGCATCTGACTTAGTCAGCTGATTGCAGCATCATTTTTTCAGTCATCATTGAAGCTTGATGACTTCAGCAGATCTCTCAGCTTAATATATTTCATGCTTGAATTCTCATTCTGTGCAGCAGTCTTCAATGATGTGTACACTTCTGAAGAGATTGTGAATGATTGTGATGAGATCTTCAGGTTCAGCATAGTTGCCTGTCTGTGTAAACATTCGATCTTCTGCTGCAGGCCTAAGATCTGGTTTTCTCTATTCTTATTGATGGTGATGATTGCGTCAGCGAAGCTCTTCATAGTGAATGCTTGATCTGCAGTGAATGTCAATTGTTATTTGATCTCTGTCTCAGCCTGCTACTGTGTACACAAGGCCTCAATCTTGTTTAGAATCCTTGTACATGTACAGAGCTTCAATTTCAGTTCAGCAGTCTCAGCTGCTTTTCTTACTGCTTCAAGTAAACCCTCTGAGAGATTCTGCATATCTTTCAGTTCAGGTAGCAGAGAAGAGTGTTGTTTATATCAGCTAGAGAAGGTATTCATTTCAGTGATTTTGATTGTACAATATCTATCATTATATCACTATATCACTGTATCACTATATTATTATATGGTTTCTGTTATCATCATATGACTTCAGTGATGACCACTCTCTTCTTTTATCTCTTTGAGTGAAGAGTAGTCTTCTTTGAATCTGATTCACTGCTCTCATTTCTTTTTCTCACATCTCATCTGTTCACATATGTGGTATTCACCTGGGTGTGGAGTTTTTCCCCAACAAGTAAAGCAGTATCAATTGAATGCTCTTTCACTCACTGCTCTTCATACACTATCTTTTGAGATGTTCTAGAATCACACTGGCATAATAACTATAAATCACTTCATAGGCAGAATTATCACACTCTGAAGAAGTCTGTGCTCCTCACCAGTTTTTAGACATGCTATCAGATGTGATTCAAAGGTTGCTTAAGTCAGTGTACAATTACAGGTGTACATCAGCTTCTTATATTGTAATCTCATACACTAAATTAATTAGCATACACTATGGCCCCTTTACACTCATACGCGTACGCTAGTAGTTCGGAAGCGGCCGCGTTATTATCCGACGGTCGTATGTTCTTCCGAATCACAAATCTCTTTATAAATAATATCTGATCACTGCTGAGCTTCTTATGAGTGTCTCTGCAACTTCTCTAATCACTTTTTACTGACTGATGAAGCAGAGACATCATCACTCATGACTATGTCTTCATTCTTCTCAGCTCTGTCATTATACCTGATCTTCAGGCCAGCAGTTAACTCTCTGTCTCTCTCAGATCAGTCTCTGACTCTAAGTAGTGCAGTCTCTTTCTTTACTGTAAGTCTTCTCATAAGTAATTCCTTACAGACTCTAGCTGACAGTTCTTACAAAGCTCTCAGTGTTGTCAGTGTCTTCTGTGATCTCACAGGTCTATGATCATCTCTTCTCTGCTCACACAATCTCTGACCAGGCATATGTAAATATGTCTAGGTTTTCTATCAATGGTTCTCACACCGCGGCGCAGTTTCACAATCTCATTGTCAATGAGAGATGAGTCTCTGAGTACCTGCAAAATCCAGGTAATTAAGGCAATGCAAATGCTATGAATTTGTGATAAGAGTTAGTCTGAGTAGATAAGCTCTCTCTTCACATCTCAATTATTTTCAGACTGAATACTTCAGTATAACTGAAAGAGTGAACACAGCTTTGTAAGAGATATCTGATTACATATACAGATAATCAGTCTTCAAGACTCTACTGCAACTATATACACTCTGATATTCAGCTTCTCTGAAGTCTGTGCATTTCTAACAGTCTTTACATCAAATATAACAATTGTCTGTATTATAGATATAATACTCTCTACTTCTTTAAAGAAAGAAATTGATAGTTATGAGAGAGTTGAGTATTACAGATATTAAGAGTGTGAATATGAGTTTTCTTTATTTTTTCTTTATTAGTCTCTAAATTGTGTTCACAGCTCTGTTTATTTTTCTTATTTTTTAGCTTTAATAAGAATATAATTTCTTCTTTTCTTGCATACACTGCAGACTGTTCATCTCAGTAGAAACTCATTATCTTATAAATTAGAATTCACAAATGACAGTGTTAATATCTTTATCATAATCAGGTTCTTAGTGAAGATTACATTATTCTGACTTATCAGAATTTATAATATAAAAGTTATATCTCAGCTTCTATAGATGTCTTATCTACTCAGATAATTCTCAAGTGAACTCATTCATCTTGTCAGAATACTCTTATCACTGAACCTTGAATTAGAGCTCATGATCTTGCTTCTCTGAGTTAATAATCTCTTTGACCTGATATTCTCTTTCACTCTCTAGTACTTTATAAATAGAGTGATAAGTCACAGAGTTCTCTTCTAAGAATTTCTTATATTCACAGAGTAAGAAGATATGAAAAACATTGTATATCTGCAACTCAGATAACAGTTTCAATCTATAGAACTGTGAGTTAATTTTCTTCATAATCTTACAAGACTCTGTCTGCAAGAGATTCAGCTTCTTACTAGATCTTTATATAATAATGTTTTCTAGACTTAGTCAGACTCTATCATCTTTCTTAAAACTCTTTATAATATACTTGAAGTCATAGTATCTCTTCTAATACTCTTAAGTCTTTCTCAAGAATTCATGAGCTTTCTCTCAGATCTTCTGAATTCTCTCAGTCTGTTCACAGACATCATCACACTCTATAGTGTACTCTCACAGATTTATCAAGATTATTCATGAATAAATCTCAGTGAGTATCTCAAAGAGGATTTTATCTGTACTGACATGCTTTAAGTTGTTATATATAAACTCTGTAAGTGATAATCAATGTATTCAGTTATTCTGATTATAATTAACAAAGCACTGTAGATACTGTTTCAATATACTTATCAGATATTCTGTCTGATCATCTGTCTGTTAATGAAAAGTCATACTTAGATCTTATGAGATCTTCAGTATAGTCATCAGATCAGATCAGAACTCTTCTATGAAGATTGATTCTCTATTTGAGATAATGTTTACAGGCAATTCATGCAACTGAATCACATTATGAATGAAGATATAAGTTAAATCCTTTGACTTCAAGTTCTTATAAGTGAGTATAAAGTGTGTTATCTTGATAAAGTAATTCACTATCATCAGCACACTGTCAAAGCAGGTATTATATATGTTCTTACTTTCAGAAAGACTTATAAGAGCATTTATTTCTAGCTGTTCTCAAGGTTTCTGCAGAATGAATAGAGAAGTAAGTTCTTTATATGACCTGAATCACACTATCTGCAAATCCTGATAAATAGCACAAGAATTCACTATCTTCTTCACAAGTTCTCATATCTTCAGTCAGAAGTATTTTCTTACAAGCAACTCATGAGTTCTAGTATCTGTAAAATGACCTGCTAGAGAAGAGTTATAATACCTTTTAATGAGTTCTACACATAGAAACTTATTCACAGACATATAAATCTGACTCTCTCTTTGCAAGAGATTATTTAAGTCTTCTTAATTCTTTATTTCTGCAGGGTTGATCTCTACTGTGAGCAGTTTCTGAATATACTGAGCATATTCATTCTTCAGTTACAGTTCAGACAATCTGAATAGAAGATCTTGTGAAGACTTGTACTCTGTTTTCTCTTACATCAGGTCTTCTACAGTACTTCTTAAAGCCTGCAAATTCTTCAGATTATAGATACTCTCTTCAAGAATTCTCACAGAGATTTTCAGAGTGTTGACTCTCAGTATTATAAGAAGTAGTTGTACAGACTTCTTCTCTCTCTCTTCTCTCTTCTCTTATAAGGAATTAAGAGACTCTTCAGTCAATCTCTTTGTAACACTCAGTTTAAGTATTCTGTGAAGCTTTTCTATCTTCTCTAGTCTCTCTGTGTCTGTCATTCTGATCTTCTTAACATAGTCTGATCTGTGAGAGAATTCATCTGCTGAGTTCTTAGTTCTCTTAATATGTTCTATCTTGAATCAGAACTCACTCAGTCTCTGAGCTCAGTGAATCTGTCACTGTAAGAGTTTCTTAATTAAAGTAAACTGTTGTAAGCTGTTATAATCAGTTCTAACAGTAATCACTGTTACAAGGCTCTCAAAGTAGTGATATCAGTGACAGAAGAATTTCACTATTATAAGAAGCTTCTGATCATAAATGTCATAGTTGATCTCTGTGAGTTGCATCTTTCATAAGAAAAAGATCACTGAAACTCAGTTCTCATTTGACTGTAGTTACAAGACTATTTCTGAAATTGTAAAGAAGAAGATATCTGTCTTCAATCTGATTAAGAGCAAGAGATTAAAATGAAACAGTATCACTATGTTCATGAATATCTGTTTCAATCTTGTAAAGACTCTGTAAGCTTCTGAGATAAGAAAGTTCTCACACTTAACAATCTTTTCATTCTTCATTCACAGAATGACTTCTTCTTATTTTCATTCTTCAGTATGTCTGTAAGAATCAAGAAGATTCTCATAAATATAAAGATAAACTGTCTATAGAAATTCACAAAGCTCAGAAAGATCTGAATCTCATGAATACTAGTTAACTCTGATATCACAGATATAATACTCTCTGCTTCTTTAAAGAAAGAAATTGATAGTTATGAGAGAGTTGAGTGTTACAGATATTAAGAGTGTGAATATGAGTTTTCTTTATTTTTTCTTTATTAGTCTCTAAATTGTGTTCACAGCTCTGTTTATTTTTCTTATTTTTTAGCTTTAATAAGAATATGATTTCTTCTTTTCTTGTATACACTGCAGACTGTTCATCTCAGTAGAAACTCATTATCTTATAAACTAGAATTCACAAATGACAGTGTTAATATCTTTATCACAATCAGATTCTTAGTGAAGATCACATTATTCTGACTTATCAGAATTTATAATATAAAAGTTATATTTCAGCTTCTATAGATGTCTTATCTGCTCAGATGATTCTCAAGTGAACTCATTCATCTTGTCAGAATACTCTTATCACTGAACCTTGAATCAGAGCTCATGATCTTGCTTCTCTGAGTCAATAATCTCTTTGACCTGATATTCTCTTTCACTCTTTAGTACTTCATAAACAGAGTGATGAGTCACAGAGTTCTCTTCTAAGAATTTCTTATATTCACAGAGTAAGAAGATATGAAAAACATTGTATATCTGCAACTCAGATGACAGTTTCAATCTGTAGAACTGTGAGCTAATTTTCTTCATAATCTTACAAGACTCTGTCTGCAAGAGATTCAGCTTCTTACTAGATCTTTATATAATGATGTTTTCTAGACTTAGTCAGACTCTATCATCTTTCTTAAAACTCTTTATAATATGCTTAAAGTCATAGTATCTCTTCTAATACTCTTAAGTCTTTCTCAAGAATTCATGAGCTTTCTCTCAGATCTTCTGAATTCTCTCAGTCTGTTCACAGACATCATCACACTCTATAGTGTACTCTCACAGATTTATCAAGATTATTCATGAATAAGTCTCAGTGAGCATCTCAAAGAGGATTTTATCTGTGCTGACATGCTTTGAGTTGTTGTATATAAACTCTGTAAGTGATAATCAATGCATTCAGTTATTCTGATTATAATTGACAAAGCACTGCAGATACTGTTTCAATATGCTTATCAGATGTTCTGTCTGATCATCTGTCTGTTAATGAAAAGTCATACTTAGATCTTATGAGATCTTCAGTATAGTCATCAGATCAGATCAGAACTCTTCTATGAAGATTGATTCTCTATCTGAGATAATGTTTACAGGCAATTCATGCAACTGAATCACATTATGAATGAAGATGTAAGTCTAATTCTTTGACTTTAAGTTCTTACAAGTGAGTATAAAGTGTGTTATCTTGATAAAGTAATTCACTATCATCAGCACACTGTCAAAGCAGGTATTATATATGTTCTTACTTTCAGAAAGGCTTATAAGAGCATTTATTTCTAGCTGTTCTCAAGGTTTCTGCAGAATAAATAGAGAAGTAAGTTCTTTATATGACCTGAATCACACTATCTGCAAATTCTGACAAATAGTACAAGAATTCACTATCTTCTTCACAAGTTCTTATATCTTCAGTCAGAAGTATTTTCTTATAAGCAACTTATGAGTTCTAGTATCTGTAAAATGACCTGCTAGAGAAGAGTTATAATACCTTTTAATGAGTTCTACACATAGAAACTTATTCACAGATATATAAATCTGACCCTCTCTTTATAAGAGATTATTTAAGTCTCTTCAATTCTTTATTTCTGCAGGATTGATCTCTGCTGTAAGCAGTTTCTGAATATACTAAGCATATTCATTCTTCAGTTGCAGTTCAGACAATCTGAATAGAAGATCTTATGAAGACTTGTACTCTGTTTTCTCTTATATCAGGTCTTCTACAGTACTTCTTAAAGCCTGCAAATTCTTCAGATTATAGATACTCTCTTCAAGAATTCTCACAGAGATTTTCAGAGTGTTGACTCTCAGTA